AGGAACAGGGCTGAACCATTGTTTGGGCAGACCTTAGGGGGTGGAAATTCAATGAAAGGAATTTTGTACCCGTCACGTATAACACTCAAAATAAAGCCTGAAGCACCAATTTTCTCCCATTCTTGATAACACTTTGCTAAATTCCCGAGGACCGAGCAAACTTTAGACTGGCATGAATCAAATTCACTCGTTGTCAAAGACTTAACAGTGCCAAACAACAATGAATAATCTGAATCAATAAGATCGTCCTCAAGACCACTGCCTGCGCTGCCTAAAGAACTAGGAAAAACGTTGCAAAAATTAGAAACAACTACACCTTGATCTTGTCCATCCTCGAGGTCGGCTACTCATTGACCTGGACGGGACTTGGCAGCTAACAGCGGGCATTGCGCTCTCCAGTGGCCTGGCTTATCACAAGCGAAACAAGATCCCGGCCTCGTTTGATTTCTGAACTGGGCATCGATGGTTGGAATCGGCCTCAAAGCAGAACTGAGATCAGTATTAGAAACAGCCGCGACTGGTTGGCTCTTAGGAAACTCCCGTCTTGAAGCAGTCATTCTTGACTTGACTCTCTGTGAAATCTGCTTGGTTCTCGCTCTCGCTTCTGCTCTAATAATCTTTTCATCGTCTAAATCGTCGGCAAGATCGTTCTTTTTATATTCTTGTATTACCGTCCAGCCATAATCTGATTTGACCGCTAAAAGGACATGTTTCTGCCCTTCCGCTAATAAGTTCTCACCTTTCTCTAGCGACTCTTTGACCTTGTCCAGGTTTTGCGTAGAACACGAAGATTTCGCTCATCTAGAACGTTCGTCAGTTTCGAGTTGAATCTGTACTGATCTTCATTGGCCTTCTTCTTGAACCGGCGGGGTTCTTCGAACTTCAATTTCTTAATTTCACGAAGATGCGAGTCAGCAGTGTCAGAGTTAGCCCTCTTAATGTCGGATAGGGAACTGTCGAGGATTGACCTCATTGAGCCGAGAAGAGTCTCGTTGTTCTTAGTTACAGCGGCATTGACGATTTGCTCAACCTGAGATTGTTCCATCGCGAATAAACTTAGCAATAGCTGAGAAAGTGTCGGCCTAG